TCAAGTGGGGGGGGGGGGGAGAAATTACAACAAATTTAAAAAGTAGGAACAAAGTCAAATTAGTTTAACAAAGGACTTATTAAGTGCACTTATGATTTCAAGCATTCTAAACATTTAAAAACATTTTTAAACATTTAAAAAACAGCCAACATGAGGCTGTCAAAACCATTGTTAAGCAAAACAGGGGGACCCAAACTGTCATTGCTATGCGAAGCATGGTCCCAAACATCCCTATGCGAAAATCGCCCATAGGAACCATCATTAAACGGAGCGCAAGATTGTTCCGAAAAAGTAATTGCTAAGCGATTTCATTGTTAAACGCAGCAATCGCTAAGCGAGGCATCACTGGTATGTCTATGTGTTGATTAGTCCTTAGAGCAAGTCTGATTCTTGCTCTAATTAATGTTCTTCTGTTGTTGTTTTCAATCCAAATTTCACAGTAGTATTATTTGTTATACTACTGTGAAATTTGAATTTAAAACAACAACAGAAGAAGAACAAATTTGTTAATTTGACCCAACTCCGGGAGGCAGTGGAAGACAGGAGGGCCGGGCATGCTCTGGTCCATGGGGTCACGAAGAGTTGGACACAATGACTAAACAACAACAACAACATAAGTTGTTAAAGCCGACTGAAGTTTCACGAAATAATTTCCTCCGGAACTTTTTGCTAGATGCCATATTAAGCAGAACCATGATTAATATGAGAGCTAATTGCTGAACCAATTGCTGAATGATGGGTTAACAGGTTGGTAACAACTCCCATCAATTCAAGTGGGCCCACCATACTTGGGAATAGTGCCTGGATTTCAGTCCAGGGTCCCCGAGATGATCTAAAGTTTGCAGATTATCTAGAGCAGTGGTTGCCAATCTTGGGTCCCCAGACATTTCTTGGACTGCAACTCCCAGAATTCCTGGCCAGTACAGCTAGTGGTGAAGGCTTCTGGGAATTGCAGTCTAAGAATGCCTGTGGCCTAAGATTGGCAACCGCTGATTTAGAGTCTTCAGATAGAACTATGGGAAGTGTTTGGTGTATGTAGGGAACTGTCTTTAACTAGTCAAGATGGCTGAGGGCTGACTGAACTGTCATTAAGCCCTTTGAGGCTCTGCTGCATCCAGACCCCTCCAAGTCAAAGGATATTGAAATTTACTTACGACTAACCTGATCCCAGCCTAACTTTATGCTGGCTTTGTGGCTGCTGAGTCTGGGCTGAGTTTGGATCTAGCATGACTTTGCTTTTGACTGCTCCTTTTGTGGCTCTTTTGCTGTCTGATCTCAGCCAGCACAGCTGTTGTGTCGGAAGATCCAGTTGTTGTGAGAAATTTGAGATCACTTGTGCTCACCTCTCTTCTTGAAGCTTTTTGTCTCTCTTCATATATAGTAAAGCCAAACCTGTTTATTTTCTTCCCCACCATCCTTTTTTTTTTTAAAAAAAAATCACTCTTAAAAGGTCCAAGTGAGGCCGCTGCCATTAAACCTGTCGTTCCTGCTGCACCACCTGCTTTTACAATCTTTGAAGACGAGAACGCAGAGTAAGTTGAAATCGTTTGCGTGTATGTGGTGTATAGGAATTAATGTCATCATGTCACCTGAAGTGGCCTTTGATAGAAAATGTGAGAAGGAAGATCTGGGAGATTTTAGAAAGTAACAACGAATATAAGACAGATGGCTTTCTGTATTTTTTTTTCATAGATTTTCATTCCTTATTTTGCTTTCTTTTATACATCATGAGCTGTTTTGTTATAGTGCTGTGGTTCATTTTAAAATAAAAAGAGAACAAAATATTCATGTATGGTTAGTAAGCCATTCTTTCTGTTCATTGTAGTTTGTTGCTTATGCTGCAAATGGTATGGCAGATGACCAAACAAATTCTGTTTTAGGTTGGGCAGCTGAAGAAAAAAGCAGGGAAAATCCACAGTTGCCAGTTCAGTTCAGTTGTGATAAAGCTGTGGTTTAAACAAACCAGAGTTCAGAAATGGTGTGATCTGGTTTGGAAGATTTACTACTCCATGGCTTGCTGTGGGATGCAAATGCAATCAATATTTTTCTCCTTGCAAGTCTGGAAGAGGAGATAGACTAGGGAAGGGGAAATCACGTGCTTAAAATTTGTTCTTTGTTCCCAGTAATTTCTAAAACAGACTAGATTGTTTGAATTGATCCATAGTCTCTTTTTTTTGTTATATTATGTTATGAGCCTGCAAATCTGAAAACGATTGCTAGTGTGAACCATTTGATCTCTGTGTGAATTGCTGTTCCTGAAGATTTGTGAAGTCCTTTCTGTTTTCAAGGGTCCATCAGCCACATCCAAAGTCAACGGAGACCAAAGTCTTTGGTGAACGTCTCACAGTAGGCTGTGCTGTCAAATCAGCAGTAAGTATATGGCCTTTATAATAGAGATACATGTGAAGGGCATAAAAACACAATATTCTTGTAATGAGTTTCAATCAGATCAGATATTGAACTTCACATTTGTATATAGTGCCTGGTCTGCATACACATAATTTATTGTGTCTGTAAATTGGTTAACTAAACCATAGCTGAGTGTTGCAGAGATTCACATGATAAAGGGGTATACAATAGTGCCTTGCAAGATGAATTTAATTCGTTCTGCGGTTAATGTTGTCTTGTGAAAAATTCATCTTGCGAAACGCATTTTCCCTTAGGAATGCATTGAAATCTAATTAAGATGTTCCTATGGGCAAAAAAAGTCAGAACATAGTCAGATTTGGTTTACAAAGGGTTTATTAAGTGCTCTTTTTAAAGCCATACATATTGTACAGATGATTTTAAAAAATTCAATTAAAATACGTTAACTTTTTAAACATCATAGAAAAACATTTCAAAATCAGCAAACATGAGGCAGAAAAACGGAAAACATTCATCTTGTGAAGCACAGTCATAGGAATATTTATCATGCGAATTTTGTGAGAAAAATAAAATGTCAAAATGCACAATCCCAGAAAACCCCCACCAGCACGGTTAGTGTTGAGATATTTGGTGGAAAAAGTAACTTTTCCAGGCTCTTGTCTTATGATTACCCTCCTATCGCCAAACATAATAGGATTCCACTTAAGGGAACTAAATCCCACAACAGTCAATGAGAATTTTGTGCCATTAAAGTCTAAGTTAATTGCTTTTCAACAACACTTTATTTATGGTTATAAAAGGAAGTGTGTGTGCAGCATATGCTGTGTTTTCTCTTTCGCAGGAGGAAAGCCAGCCCACTGAAGCCCTGACAGGTGACTACACTGTATGGGCAGGTCACTGCAATAAAACCCTGGCTCCCAGTCCAAATGACTCGGGTGATTTTCTGCATGCCGCTCGCTTTGCCTCAACACCATTCAGTGCAATTCCAGCACGTACTGACCAAGGTAGAGGGACATTTATTTATATATATAAATAAAGCATTTGTGGTCAGCACAGTTTGCCTAAGGAAATCTCAGAAACTGTTTACGGTGCCCATATATGCGATTTAATATGCTTCTGGCATACTTTCTATGCTTATTACGAGTGTCTCTCGTCCAAACTGCTCAATATAAAGTAGCACTTATGGACCTCCAGGAAATCTATCCCACGCTCCTGCAGCTGAAGAAATAACTGAGAAAACTCCTGGATATAATTAGTTATGCTTTGTTCAGGGAGGAGCCTCTTTCTATACAGCTTACGTGTGATTAACATCTTGGATCCAGCTGTTTGTCTCACATAGACGGCTTTTAACGCTTCCCAGACCTTTTTACTTGAAGATTTTCCTCTCACATAATTTAGTTGCGAATCATCCAGGCATAATATTATTGTAGACAACGCTCTCTCATCTTTAGCCACGTCTTCTTCATCTAGTTGGGATGGAGGATTACAAACAATCTGCCATACACTCTCTTAAATTTCCATCTTAAAGGCCCATGACATGTAAGTATGACCATTTAAATGTAATAAACGAAAGTTACTGGCCTGCTGCATGGTGAAGCCTCCTTCTTGAATCTGCTGTCCATCACTTTGAAAATCTGATTCAGCTCCTCCAGCTATTGGCTTCTCCTCCATAAACTTGCAGCCTCAAAAATGTTTTCTCCTTGGGCCAACAAATATCTCAGCATCTCCCTGGGCTTACCATGTCTCCTGGGCACAACATCTCCCTGGGCCCATAACCCTGTTGGCAACAAACGTCTCAGCATCTCCTTGGGCTTACCATGTCTCCTGGGCACGACATCTCATTGGGCCCATAACCCTGTTGTCATGGGGCCAAAATTCCAGAGGCTTAATGAGGCTCTGGCCTCAAGAAAATTCAATGTGAAGCTTTGCAAGAGCACTCTGTTTAAAAAACAAACCTTGGAACTAAGGACACTAGTTATACATAGCCTCTTATCAGACTGCTTCCATTCCTCCCACTTAAATCTAAGAGACTTAGAGGTGGGTAGAATACGACATGAGAGAGATCTTAGTGATTATAATATAGTATATTGAATATGGTTAAACATACAGTATTTCCAAGCTATATACATTTGGTATAACATTCAGAGCAATATTGACATAGAAGCAAATGACCACCAGACTTACTGCTGAGTAGCAAAGGTCTGTTCTGTCTCTGTTACATTTATACCCATAACAACCAATCACATTTCACCATTTACAGCTGGTCTTGCTTAGCAATCAAACATTACATCAGCTTGTTACACTTGTATGCTGTTAGTCATTGCACTGGCTTTTACTCTACATTAGTGACTCTGCACTTCCATTACAATATTAAAATTTAACTCCCTGTTCACCAAAAGAACAAAATCTTGACACTTTCCTAAGGTGTTTTTTTTTTGCTTAATTGCCTTTAATTTGCTTTATTTTTAAAATCATCTTATGCTTCTCTGACATTTTTATACCATCCATGTTTATGCGTGTCTGTTATACAGAGAAAGGTTTAATGTTTCATATGAATCAGTGGTAAGTTCCAGTGGCAGATCTGTCTCTGCGTGCTTGTAGCCTTTGTGCTGCACTGCTTGAGAAGATGGACTTTTGTGTTTGTGTCCCTGAAGCTCAGAGTTCAGACTCAATCCTGGGCTCAGCTGAGAGACTCGGCCCTCCAGTTGCATTTCCCCAGGTTCTTCTCTTCAGATTTCTCTTCATTGGCTTTTCCAATGATAACGATACTTGTCAAGGATAGTGTTTTGCCTTTCCTTGATTCTTGCCAATGGCTTAACCAGCGGTCATTCTCTTGTGCAGTCATTGAGGATCCCTGGGACGACAGCTTAATCCGCCAGCTTCTGTCTGCGCTGCCCAAACCAATAAGCGCCTATTCCAATACTTTTGAATGGGGATCAAATGTTCCGGTTCTCAAACCAAAGGCTGAACTTAACTTGGGTAAGGAACTTACTCGTTCAACATTTCGTTTTATCCTCTTTGATAAGCCTCTTTTACCATATGAGATGAACAGTGACTCCCCCAACTTGTTTTCCCACCTGGAAAGCAAGGTGAGTTCAGCGAGGTCTTTTCAACTCCCAAGGCTGGAACATCGAGAGAGGGTGGTCATCCTTGTGCAGGCTGGATACGGATGCTTCTTGGGCCTGATATGTACCATTAACGGGCCAGAGTTTTCCCTTCCCCGCTGTATCATTTGTTACCTCATTTTTAGAGATGGGCATGAAGAGATGGTTTGGTGGTTTGTACTGGTTGGTTCTTTGGATGAACAGGTATTGGGGCTTCTCTGCCCCCTCCAGCAGGCTCCCACTCAGAAGCAACGCTCGGAGGAGGCGGGGCAGCAAAGTGGGGTGCTGTCTCTGAGTGGTTGCCCACTAGAGGAGGGAGGGCTGGGACGCAATGGAGAACGAACTGGCGCAAGCCACCGAACCAGCGGTGTGTACCCATCTCTACTCATACTTTTTTGAACGTTGTTCTAGAGCATTCCGTGAGGGAAAGAGATTGTAAATGGGTTTGAAAGCTATCACAGCCCTACGTTATTCAGATTGGTGGGTTTTGATGTATCCCACGTCCTGTCCTACATGATTCTCCTCTTGCTTCTCTCCACCGCTTATTCAGGATCCATGTCCTTCCATATTGACTTCTTACTTGGAGAAGGAGCTTTTGCACATGTGTATCAAGCCTCTGTCCTTGACATGGACAACACAAGAAACAACCGGAAAGTGATCCTGAAGGTAAAGAGTCCTGCGTCTTAATTCTCAGGCTACCTCCAAGGTTACTTGGGTGGTCCTCTGTTCACGTAACAAGATTCTTCTGCCCAGTACCACCGTGTGCTTCCCTGATCTGCTCTAGAGGTCCACCAATGTTCAGGAGCTGAGCTGAAAGGTACGAGTGTTGGTGGGAGTGAATACAGGGAGATCAATTCTCCTGGCACTTTCCATTAT